TGTCACAGTCTTTCGCGAACCCTTATCGGAAGTTTCCGAGTGGAGCGAAGGAAGTTGCATCGTTATGAATCCTTACTCTACCGTTTTAAAAAAAGGCTTCAAAGAAAAGATAGGTAAACCACCAGAAAAAAAAAATGTCTCGTCCATGTTGTCTGCAAATGAAATTTACGAGAGATATAAAGATTGAAGAAGGACTGCGTGTAAAAGCTAAAAATATAATACTGAGCGCGATTCCAAAAGAGAGCGTTACGTTAGGATAGGATAGGATTTACATATTTATCCCGGGGGAGAGGAAAGCCGATAAGACGGCTTATCCATATGGCGAACCACGGCCTCTCGTCCGGTTACCATTCCAAGTCGGGTATGGGATTAGTTTTTACTGTATTGTTTGTTTTCGGAAGCATGGACTTGGTGGTGGAGGAAGCCGTAACCGACCAGCGGTTACGTGAACCACCCAACGACGGCGAGGAGTCCAGCAACCCTCTCGCACATAACCATCCCTGCATGGGATTCGAACCTGCGAACCCACGCAGAGTAATTAGAGGTGCGGTGGCGAGCGTATTCCTAACGCTTAGCCCGTTGAGCCACACCGCCGCGCCGTTACATGCAACGTTACATGCAAAACACGATAAGGAGTGCTTGCTTTAGAACAGTACTCGGAAAAACAGCAAATACCACATATGAGCTTTTTCCTGCAACAACGTGAAATGATTAAAATAGACATAGCATGGGTTCCAGGACACATTAAAGAAAAAGATGTAGAACAGGAATTGAAGAAATATATCGTTTTGAAAACAAACGTTCATTCTTATAAACTGAGGACGGAATAGATAATTGGTGTATGTTTACCAAAGTGGAAAAAAAAAGAGTTGGAGGAAAATACATTACCCAGTTACATATCAGTAGATGGTTATACTCTGCTGGTAAAATCCTTTGGACAAAAGAACACCTGTAGACTATGTGGAGAGTTATCTTTATTAGCCATAGCCACTGATTATATAATATAATAATAACTACAGCCCACGAGTCCAAGGCGACCAACAGATATGGTGAAACTGCAGCAAAACGCTGGGAACTCGTGTGGGCGTTAACGAATCAAGTTGCCGCAATGGAACGTATCGCGTCAGACACTTCTCATTGGTCAAAGCTTTAGTTGCGCATCATGGTATGCTAGTCGTTGAGAATTATTAAGCGATCGGTTCCCGATACCTAATGGCAATAAGTGCGCCTCAAAAATTAAGAGAGTTGTGATAAATATTACTTAATATATGATTGAATATTTTACATAGTTTATTCTGAATGCTTCCTTTTTTTATGTTTTCAAACGATGTGTATATGAATCAATAACAATTTTACCTTTGTTACGTTGGGTCCATTGTTACGTAACAGTAGATGTAAACCCTTGCTGCAATTTCGTATGCAGCAGTTTATTCATTTGCTTAACCGAGTTCAGCTAACATGTGTGATTTAGTTTACCATTTTAAAGGAAAACCAGGCAGTGATAAGGAAGATGGAGTTAACCTTTTACCTCTATCTTTTAGACCTACATGTTTATAAACTTTAAAAGGCATAAACAACAAATTAACGATCACAAAATTGTGTTTTATTCAGATTAGGTGCGTCGTGAGTTTTTCCTGATAAATTTGCGCCACACGAACCGCTGCCTCACGCCAAATTTGATCATTAAGAGTGAGTAACAATGCCACCAGTGGCCAAATATCGTAATTAATTATAATTGCGGCCTGCATCAACAAACAGCGAGTTACGACTGGACTTGCTGCGCGGCAAAAAACAGTCGCGCCCATCACAATGTTGAGTGAGGTTCATCTGAATAAATGCGTGTTTGTTTTTGTTATCGAATAGGCCCACTAAAAGATAAAAATTCAATGTGTCATTAAAATATCAAAAATGTAAATATCGAACTGTTTAGCATTATTAACGTGAGCAGCACGTCCATATTAAAAACAAATTGTGTCTGCATCTATTTGAAAGCCTATGTTTGATAAAAGCGTGGCCCGCAGTTTCACAGAAGTATTTGTTTTTGGCTCTCCTGCGAAAAAGGTTGCCTGATTTAAATAATTATCTCGGGGGACAGTAGGGTCGATAAGAAGATTTGAATATATGGTGAACCTAGGCCTCTCCTGTTACCAAGTCAGGCATTGGGTTACATTATCTAGTCATTTGTTTTATTTAAATAGACTTGATAGCGGTAGAATCCGTAACCAACAAGTGGTTATGTGAGCCACCCTATGGCGCCGAGAAGTCCAGTAATTCTCTCGCACATAATAATCAACCACAGGATTTAACGCACGCAGGGTAATCAATCAGAGGTGAGAAGAAGAGCGTTAGCACAATGCGCTACACTGCCGAGCCCGCATAGAGTACGGCATAAAAACCTGATTCACAAAAAGATTATGCGGTTGCAGTTCAGACTAGTGCATATAGGTGCATACGGTACTGACATAGTACACTCAGGAACACCATTACAAACGCAGATTGGAATTTTGAACTTTTAATTTATTAGTATTAAATACATCAGATTATCAAAAGAAAACACATAAAATTTCCACAGCGGAAAATATTAAATATGCTACAGCTGTTAATTATTATTTTGAAACACTAACTCATTTGAAAAATACAATCACATATTTGAGAATTATAAAAAATCTTTAAAAATAAAAGGTTTTGATTGTTACATTGTGGCCCCATAAGAGCTTGGCAATCATTTCTATACTGCATACAAATCTTGGCACAATTTCTACCATTTTTCATGTGAGCGAGTAAGATTTGAACTTATTTCGAAAACATGTCTTTTCACGAAGCTTTACACTTGATTGGCAGTCTTATTAATTTAAAATTTATAGCTTGAAGCATCGGTATTCAGATTAGAATAGTAGCAGAGGGAAGGAACATTTGTATTTCACTGATACGGCATCGATGAAAAATTTAAATACGTATTTTCGAATAAAAAAATTAATTTAATTTAAATTAACTATCTATACGAGAATTGCCTTAAAAAATCTAGTAAACTTTAACATATAACTCATTGCTTTCGACAACAGAAAATGCATATTTGAGAATAAAACCATTAAATTTCAATTAAGACAACTATTTCAAGGATGAACATAAAATTTAGGTGTAGTATCTATAACTTCATTATAGGTTTATAGAAATACTTGCATTCATGGAAAGTAATTCAGATGATATGGGACTGATGTTGAAATTCTATATTACTGGCGTATTATAACCTTAAACTAAATGATATCGCAACAAGAACAATATTATATGACAATTTTTACAAACTAACCCATTTAAATTTAATCTAACTTGAAGTTAATTCAGACCATGTCGAACTAGAAATCCTTTTCCAAATTTTTTTCTATACAAGTATGGGGGACTCCCACGAATAAGATTGGTTGTTATTGAAGAAGTAAACGGAATACACAAGAAATCTACCAAACGGTGAAAACAAAAATCAGAGAATAAAAAACTTATTTTCGCAAATTGAATTAATGGGTTTCATTATATCAGGAATTATTAAAAAAAATCAGGGAATCAGGTAAAATTGGATTTTTATATTCATCCCAGTAATTAAAAATAGAGCCCAAGTGTAATATATTGCAAACCAAGAAGTCCTTGGCCTAGTGCAGTGGTTCCTAATCCTTTTTTTTTTGTTAAATTCCTTCCTTTTTTTATTTTGGGACTCTTTTTGCTTCCCTCACTTTGCATAAATAGTAATTTAATATTTTTTGCGATATTCAAGGACTGAGTTGAAATTATAATTTCAACAGAAAGAATATTTGAATGACCAGCAAAATACAAAATATAAAATGATAGTGATTGAAATGAAGAATTAGGAGCTGTGGAACGTTTGAAAGTCAATATGGTTGGTACGAATATTCATATGGCTTTTATAATCACTGATCCCCGTATATCAAGGTTCATATCTTTAGGAATGTCAACCATCACCCAGGTTTTCTTTTCGGAATCGTATTTCTCCATGGTTTTCCTTGTACTAAAAGAGAGATAAGAACAAGCATAATCTACAATACTATAAATAACTACAGGCTTCAAAATGTTTGAAGACCCGTGACAAAGACTAATTTTTTAATAATCAAGTCTGTTTAGTTTGCCATGGCCAAATTCATATGAAGTTCTCAAATGGTGGGTGGTGCCCCCCAATCGCGTAGAGGGGGTATGAAACTAAATAAAAATGAGACTATTTGTCAGATTTGATCTCCTTCTATTGATATTTATATTTCCTTCAAATAATTTTAACATGATTTTCAGAAAAAATTTTTTTTGCCTCATTATCTGTTATTTGTAGCTTGTTGTTAGCTTAGGTATTTTTGAAGTGGAACACGAGATTTAAAAATTCTGAAAACAGGGCAAATAAAGCATTTTGGATGAAATCATGGATTTGAGTATTGACTGCTTGACCAACACTAGTTCGAACCGGTGCTATGGAATCTGCTGACCATCATGCTTAGGTTGAGTCGGTTATCAGGCAATGTCTGAGTTACTGGAGTTTTATGTTGGATTAGATAAAACAGCAGAGAAAGTCGTGATTTATGAACAAACCTTCATGATAGGGTCATACTTGATAGCACTGGTCGTCGATTTCCTAATATAATTAAACCAGCCAAGAAGATAAATTCGGCATGAAAGCCTATTCAAATATAGAGCGCTTTATAAATCATCTTCGAATGAGAACTTAATCCTAGAGTCTTGTAATCGGGTGATTATTTTAAAATCCACTATAAGGAAACTTCCTTGTCAAGATCCCTCCTTCGGACGTCCTGGCCACGCCTATGCAGATGGGAGTTATAAATTGAATTTCAAACAAGCCAAAGCCAGTCATCCATCTTTGAAAAAAATAGTAGAATACTCATCAGAGTCACTGTAACCTTATTATAACCAATATCACGTAATTACGATGAACATTTAGTATCTGCGCAACTGAATGCAATGTGATATAATAATGATATAACTATACATACTTGAATCCACCAACTGCATAAATGTTCCCGTTGAAAACAAAGCTTTTGAGATGAAATCGAGCAATTATCATCGGTGCAAACATGGTCCAGGAATTGGATGATGGATCGTATGCTTCAACAGTTTTCAGATCCTGCCCCCTATCCCGTCCACCTTGTATACAAAAAGTAAAAGTGTGTCAATATCAGCACAAAGCTAAGTCATTCACTTGCATATCAGCTTTTGCATGTACTCAGAAGATATATCTCATAAAACATAGGTTTAGATATAAATTTAGTCCATATGTGACTGGGGAGTTGGATAAATATTTTATGTGAATATCAACACTGAGCTGATCACTATTTAGAAGAAATATTCCATAAAACATGAGTAGTTTCATTTTGAAATAAATTTATTGCCAAGTGCAAGCAATTTCAATTTTAGCGAAAATCCAGATCAGTTATTGCTTTTCAAGTCATATAGAAGAAATGTCTATATGCAATTGTGATATCAGGAGTTGAATCAACTATTTGATTGAAAACAAAAGAAATCAGATGTGACTGCGGAGTTCGTAAATTATTTTGCGACTCAAATAGTTTGTTTGAATCTTGCTAAGCCTTTGTCTGAAAGTTCAAAAAAACCTTCAATTTCATAAAATTCATGTATATTTCAATGGCAATCCCAGAATAATTTTCATCTGCGCATATGACTAAAAATAAGGTTCGAATATGTACAATAATAATTTATGTTCAATTTAAAATAGAGGCATGTGTCACGTTTTTGTTGTGTAATATAATAATAGAAGAAGTTGAATTTAATTCATAAGATGATTTTTTGTAAACAAAATTATCAAATGCCAGATAGACTAGAATTGGGTTGGATGAGAAGAACTGAAAAGTACGATCTAAAACTTAGAAAACCAATTTAAAGCTTAGTCAGGTTTTTATCATCTCATTGTCATCAAGTTGGGTGACAGCATAATATGGCAAGGTATCAATAAACTTGTGCCTTAGACCAGGGGTGGGCAAACTGCGGCCCGCAAAGCAAACTTGTGTGGCCCGCGGAGAAGTGACAATTTTGAATGAAATTTTACTTGGAAATGCCCTAATCCGTTCTAAGCCCCCACAAAACTCAGACATAATATTTGTATAAAATATAATAATGGTTAAAACTTGCAACAAATACATGTTCGAATTAGATTTTTGCATAATAAATATATAAGTACACACGAGCTGTACACTTGTTTACCTTCGGCATTGGCCAACTAGGCTAGACTAAACGAAGACCGTGGAGAGTGAGAGGACGGCGCAGTCGGAGGAGGAAGCTAAAGTTGACAGCTGAGAGATAACGAAATGTAAAAATGAGCACACACACGCATGAAATTCAAAATTTCCACCTTTTTTCTTTTCATTTCACTTTTGTTATAACTGTTATCGTTATCTCACTAAATTTTGCTAGAAACACATTGTACATGCCCACAGGAAACAAATTGGTCAATTTAATGACAGATAATTTATCGCCACGTCGCACACAGCTGCTTTCGAGTTACGACAAAATATAATAAAATAATTGTAAAATGTTTCAAATCAGAACAGGATTGTTAGCATATGTGCATAATATTTCGTATTCTCGTAAACGCCAAAAACGATATTCGAAGGTTGCGATATTAAAATATTAAATTCGAATTGGACATCCCTTCCTCAAGCACTGCATTAAATTAACCTACAATAAACAAATATCACTACACTCGATTTGCAAGTTTTCGGGCTTTCGGCTTTTCTTATGTAGAAAATCTTATATTGGCCGAAGCAATATCTTTACAAAAAGAATTTTTGTAAGATAGATTTTTCGTATCCAGAGCCTTTCATAGGTAGAGTTTCTAGGTGCGGCCCACGGATTCACCCACTTAAACATATCTAGCTCTCCTGTAATAAAGGTTTGATACCCCTGCCTTGGATCACAAAAGCTTTTCATGACCACGCTATATTAGAAAATGAGCTTTCTGTTTAAAATGCAAATAATGTTGTGCCACTTAATGAGGAAATCTGAGAGAATTTTACTGCTTTGTCAATCGAATTCAAATTTCCTTCGATAAATATAGATTTTGCAACACCAGAACTAGTCCAATTTCAGCATTACCGTATTTATTCGAGTATAACGCGCAAAATTTTGAACTGAATTTTAGGCAAAAATCAATGCTGCGCGTTATACACGAGGTCTGAGAAATGCGGTATTGAAAATGTGGTTTTAAACATCTGAAACGTGCGTGCGCTCGCGCATGCACATTCCAACGCAGGACGATTTCGTGCAAGCACACGCACATGCGACAGCTCAGCGTGCGTTTGACATTCGTGCAAGCGTTCGATTTCGTGCAAGCACACGCACATGCGACAGCTCAGCATGCGTTTGACATTCCCACTGCGTTGAGAATATTTATTTGCCATTATCGTACTGTACTGTAGATACCCATTATATATTACCCATTATCTATTATGGCAAGACATCCCATCCCATCATGGGAGGACATCCCAAAAGAAATGGTCATCAAAAGTTTTTTAAAGACGGGCATTAGCAATAGTATGGATGGTACAGAAGACGACTTGTTGTGGGATTCAAAATCAGGGTCAGAAGAAGAGGTTGAAAGTGATGTTCCCGCCGATTGGGACACTGATTTAAACATAACCCAAACAGAAATCGAACAGTTGTTTGGTGAATCAGAGACTGAATCCGATTTTGAAGAGTTTGAAGAATTTGAATAAAAAAAAGAATTTTATACCAATTTTCATTCAAAATATAAAGGTGCGCGTTATACACGAGTGCGCGTTATAATTGAATAAATACGGTACTTGTGGCTCTCATTAGCCACTGTGTAGTGAATACAAAATGTTAATGCACACACTGGTAGGATAAATCAAATCAGGTGCTTTGACATATAAAATTAAGAAACACAACTCTATCTGTTAGTATAAAACTTTAGAACTGAATCATTTTGGTAAAATAGCTTGAACTTTATGTCATCTAGAGTCTAGACCAGTGGTTTTTCAACCTTTTTGTATTTGCGGACCCTTCTGGTGCTCTCAAAGTGGCCGCGGACCCCTCAAAAGATTTTTATTTAATTTAATTTATAGCTTAAACAGCAACCTAATGTTCCATACAGATTTAACCAAGTAAAAAATAACACAAAACTAGTGGACATTTGGATTTATTTTGTCAAATCGAATACACTTAATGGGATTTTTGCTGTTGCATATCAGAAGCAAGTCTTGAAATACGTGGTCGTGTTTTTGATAACGATAGACGCATATCGTCTTCGACGTTTAGTTGGTTACGAGCCTTGTATTTGATAGGAACGAGAGCAGAAAATTCATTTTAACAAAGGTAAGTGGATGCGAATGGAACAATAACACGTAATGCTTCCATCGATACTTTTGGGTACGACGGCAAAATGACGCACCAAAACTGGGATAGTGATCACTGTAGCTGCGTTTTCGTATTTATCATTGTGATGTCTTTACTCGTATTTGTCACAATAGGTCTACGAGAGATGAATCAAAATAGTTTTTGTAGGCAGCAAATTTTCGAGCGTATTACAAAAAGAAAAAAACGATATTAAACTGCAAATAATTTCCTAAAATCCTGATTTAATCGCGGACTCCCTGGACCCCCGCTTGAGAACCACTGATCTAGACTTGAATGAACTTGTACAACTCACCAAGCACATAAAGTCGATTCTGGAATTCAACAGCAGCAGGTGCTTTTCTTGCATTCAGCATTGGTGAAATGAAACTCCATGTTGACGTATTTAGATTGAAGCATTCTGCTTTGTTGGTTGAACTTAATCCTTCTTGTCCTCCCAAACTATAAATGCTCCCTGCAATTGCAAAAAAAAAAATTTCCGGCTCCCAGCATAACAGCAGCACATAATATTGGGATTTTAAATGAAAATGTGTAATATCTGATGTAATTTCTTAAAGTTTGTTCAAAGAAATATATCAACCTCCTGTTCAAAATGAAAAGCTTGATCAATAACAAAGCATTCGTTTTATTAAATACTAGCTTCATGAAGTAACATAGATCGGGAGTTGAGCATAAATATTTCCCAACTGATGTTTGACTACAGATTTGTTTAAATACCGAAATATTTTTGCTACAAGGAATAATGGAGATAATTTTAGTTCCAAACTACCATAATTATTAACAATAAGTGTACCAAAACCACAATAAATATTTAGCTCTATACAGTATGAAGTTCAAACATAATAAAAATACAAAATTTGGTATCGGTTATGTTTCGATTTAGCGTATTTCCGTATGGTATTCGTTTTTAGGTGCAATGAGGGTCTTTAAAATTGCACACCGTGTACCGGCTCTGCTTTTGTGTTAGTCATAAAGGTTACCGTACTGGTAGTCTACAGTGACACATTGTATTACTGTACTACTTCGATTTGGTCTTTGTGTCCATATATTTGAGCATCACTCTCATGTTGAATGTTTAAGAGGCAGTTGTGCTCTTTGGGTGATCTCACTCCGTGGTGCACTCTGGTATTCAAGCACTGAATTTTTTTTTCAGTACCGCAGCATTTTTGGCTATTGATTACACAAATTTTATAGGAATATTTCAAATTAAAACCTTTTTACACTTTAATATAAAATACTTAGTGGAGAAAATTTTTTTGATTGTTAGACCATATCAAGCAAAAATCGAGCTTCGCTACGGTTGCTAAGTATATAAAACATGAGAAAAATTAATTAGATGGACGCCATGTTTTTAAAAATAGGAATTATTATTTGTCACTTGGCAGCATTTCTTGTGTTAAATGGTTCAGACGATCTCATATCAGGCGCGATATAATATTTATCTTGAACTACATTGATAATGAATTTAAAAAATCTACTAATCTACAATACTTTGCTCTTTGTCACTATACGTGATTATGTTCTGCGACGTGACTAACGTGCTAAGCATTAGGAATAAACTCGCCATCGCACCTCTGATTAGCCTGTGTGGGTTCGCAGGTCCGAATCTCATGTAGAAATAATAATATGCGAGAGGATTGCTGGACTTCTCACCACCGTAGGGTGGTTTGCAAAATTGCTGGTCGGTTACGGCTTTCTCCACCATCAAGTCCATGAATCTGAAAACAAATATGTGACTAACTAATCCCAAACCCGAGATGTACTATTAAGCGGACAAGAGGCCATGCTTCACCATATGGATAAGCCATATGAGCGGCCTCCCTCTCCTCCAGGATAAATATGTAAATCCCATCCTAAATGTTATAATATATATAATCTTGCCAAGGGTTCTTTCGTTGAAATTTAATTTTATCAAAAAAGCAACCATTCCAACATAGCCTATTGATGTTTACATTCTTCTATTAGACAGCAATCATGAAAAAATATTTTTTTTTCGTTAACTCAGAATATTTAGTCGGCAGACGGCGCTTCACTTTTTTCAGTTTTAAACAGTCATTTGATGGGATTTTTCAACAACAAAAATATATATCTCCATCAGCATGTTAAGTACATTTAATAAAAAATGTTCATTCTATTCTTTATCTTTTTTCGTCCATAAAACTTCACTAGTTTTGAAAACTTTACTTATTTGAAGACAACTTACCTTGCATGCAGATGACTGCAGGACCATTACATTCAACATTCTTGCTCTTCATCTTTGTCCACTGGTTTCTCAGAGAATCATACTTTTCCACTGTTGTTGTGCTAGATAGACCACATCCACCAACAATCCAGATCTCACCTGATATGTGAATAGAACCTCAATTTGGTTAATTTTATTTGGTTGAACCTCAATATTTTTTTTTTTTTTCAAGTATGAATATATTAAGGTGGTGGGATTCAAATCTTTAATACTCAACGCAGCAGTCGAAATTCATCTGCTCTATCTGGATCGAGACTTTTAGGAGTTCATAGTAGAGGTGGGGGTGATGGCCTCATGAGGTGCTCAAGTTGGTAAACGAGGGTTCTCGGTTTCAAGCCCTGGTTCATTCAGTTTGAAGCCCATGACCATCATGTTCAAACTCAGTATGACGAATGGTACAATATTTATTTTTCAAGATGTTGTATTACATCACTATGGACAAGGGATTGCAACAATATCCAGAGGCCTGACAGGTTTGTAATTGTACCCGTGCTAGTTAAACAAAAACACAGATATAATTGGATTCAACCCAACATGTAATGTAATGTGATAATTTCGAAGTATGCTCACGAAGTATGTAAACCAAGATGGCAGAAACCAGAACGTAGTATGTGTACCAGGTTAAGGTAAGGCCATAATTTTGATACAATTCTCTTTATTTTAGTTCTATTACGAGGTCGAAGACTAGCCAAATGCCTCCCATAGTATTTGTACCTGAAATTAAGGCCTAACCCTATCCTGGCACACATACTACATTTCGGTGTCCGCCATCTTGGTTTGCATACTTTGGGAGTACCACAATTTAATTCTAATATTACATTAAAATTTATCTTATTGGAATGAATTTTATTAATGGATTAGTTCAGGGGTCGGGCACCTTTTTGGTCAAGAGAGCCCTAAAATATACATATTTTCAATTGCATTTCCGTGCGAGCCATATAACATTTCTTGACTTAATCAGGCCTGAAACGTTTACTCAAAAGTCAACACATTCCATGTCAATATACATTTAATGTGACTTCTGATGCTGCATGTTGTCGCTGCGGGCCTTGAACGGTTGCTCACATGCAGCACAAGTTGAAATCTACGATACTCATCACCCTTTTTCGTTTAGGCATCTCCGTAGTATTTTAAAACTCTATCGCTTTATGATGTCGCAATATACGTTCCAGAATCCCCATGTTTTGTCACAATGCCTGTTTGGTAATTCTCTTACATAACATAGACATGCGCTGGGCCCGCGTTGTCAAACGTATTGGGAATTTTTTGCCAAATTTGGCCATAAAATAGTTTGAAGTCTAGTAACAATAGTAAGCTCAATCTTAGAATAATAGATTTTTCTGGGAGCCATATGCCGTCACCAAAAGAGCCATATATGGCTCGCGAGCCATGGGTTCCCGACCCCTGGATTAGTTGGAAAGAAACATGTGTTTATATTCATTGCTATTTGTATACAATAGAAGCCAATGAAATATCGTAACTTACTGGAAAGTCGATTCACTTACAATGGAAACCTAATATGCTGACATTAGGAATATTTTAAATTTGTATTAAAAGACAGAAAATGGTTTGAACAAATTTCACTCAAGTATTTTGTCAACCTCTGATATTACAGATACTTTACAAACAATGTATCTAAGACATGCCATGCTTTAACCTCAGTTGATTAATAGTTCGAAAACTAAATTTTGTCGTTGATACCAAATTATATAGATTTGGTAAGAAACCTTAAAAATGCATTAAATTTGTGATTACTTCAGATAAAATATCGAAATAATTAATATTATAGATTATTTATACACTAAACATAAAAAGGAGCAAATATTTGGAAAGATCTGAAAAAACATTAGTATTTCGTAATATGAATTAAAATAAAGAATTATTCAAACTTCATTAGTTGAGGTATATACACTACTAACCATCAACCGAAGCCATTGGTGGGAATCTGCCATGATTTTGGAATGGACTCTTCAATTCCTCCCATGTAGCATTAATATCGATATATTTGAGTCGATAAAATGAGTTGTCTCGGATCAACACATAAATATGATGATTCAGTGCAATAGCAGAGAACCATCCTGACTTCATGTTGTCATTCATTTTCTATATAAAGAAAGAGTTTTCTGAGTTTCAGCTCATTACATGACACATATACAGAATGGGAGTTCGAGATTCCTGGAAACTCTACTGAGATCTAAGTTCGTGTTGCAAGTTATAGATCCATGGTTCAAACCTGATGACTATCACCAGGGATGTCAGTTTTGATTATTTTTTTTTCGAATCAAATTAAAATGTGTAAATTCTAGTAATTTGGTATGGTATGAGATAATCGTTCATTAATTCTCATTTTCGACCTCCCAAACTGGCAGCATCAGTGTTCGTATCATGGCTGCTTTGTTCAGAGCGAAGATGAGGATGACCCCATAAAAAGGTCATATTTTATGTTAAAATGAAGTCGAGTTTATCTTTATCAATTATTCCTTCTTCACTATAATAGGCTTATTTGATATATTTGCAATGATGTTTGCAAAGATTCGTGACCTTCCATATGCTAAAAAGTTATTCAGTGTGGTCAGTTGGTCAAGTAAAGCTGATGATGCTTACCTGCATTTGCTTCCATTCATTTGACCTCGGATTGAACTGTTGGAGATGGAAAGAGGTGTAGTCAAAAACGACCAATGAGTCATCTGGTATAAGAAACAAAGGCTGTATTAGATATCTATAAAGCCATAAATATTACTAATCAATTACTGAGAATTTTCATTCGTCAATTTCGTTTTTCCTTACAGCCAGTTCATTATTTTTGCCACAATCAGTAAGGTTGTTTTACATAATGTGTGGACATGATGCCCTGTCCATATACAATTAACTAATAATTGCTCTTTTTATATAATACAGTTTCAGTCATTGGTTTGCATTTTGACCAATAAATGTACTCTTGTCCAGTGTGCAGATGTGGGGTTGTGGAGTTGGGGAGAATTCACACCTGGGTCCAAAACCAAACTAAGGCCCATAAAATGACTTGGGTCCTGATTCCCAACTCGTAATTCACAAAAAAAAAAAATTCTGGATCCAATTTCAGATTTGTATAAAATTTCGACTTCTACAAAAATGTTGACCACAATAGCTGTGCTTCAAGCAAGCCTTCTTTGATTCTATGTTGAGAATATTCAGCCAACTTGATGCTCTTTGAGTTTTCCAACCGAAATTTTGACTACGATAATCGCCATTGAAATTTTGAAACAGAAGAAGAAAAATCTTTGAATAAGACTTCTGACTAACGAATGTTTGTAAAGCTGACTCCTGCTTCGAAACACAGAGTGGATGCTACCCTGCAGGCATTACTTTACTATACAAATAGGTAATTATCTGAGGGTGATGTGTTAGTGGTCAAAGTTTTGCACCTGTGTATGGGATTGGGTACTTGTAATGGATTGCCAAATCGGACATATTACGTTCTTTCCGAAAACACAATCTCGTTATGTACTAGTGTTTGCTTGAAGCTTATAATTGAGTAAAAACATGAATATTTGATGTTCATTGATTAAAACAATGGAATCTTATTGAGTTGAATTACCTTCCAAAGCCGATGCAGAAGAACTTGATGCCAAAGAACTAGATGCAGAAGAACTCGATGAAGCATTCTTATCATCAATGAATGACAATGCTACGATTCGTAAAGTTTCTGTATTTGCAGCAATCAGACTCTGAAAACATAGAGATTCAGTGTTTAGTGTTTACTTCTTATAAGTTATGTTTGATTGTATATAAATATTTGTTTCAAAAAATTATCAGTCATGTGTGCAGTTGAATCAAAATGATATGTTAAAATTTACATTAAAACGTTTGGAAAAAATACAATTTTTCAAAATGGAAAATGTTTCCCGCTGGTATGTCATTCAACACAACTTAGGATAAAATACATTCACACCTACCAGTGTTAAGGAAACCATATCTTTATAGATTGGCAAAATCTAATTCAAGGTCAATATCATCAGGAAAACAGTCATGAAGTAGTGAATTTCACATAACTGAAGAAGTCCTTAGAAAATAACTTTGGGCAATGGGCATAAATTATTTGTCCAGTCAGTACTATGACAGAAACTGGTGAAAAACTAAAAGACTTACATCTTGCTCCAGAAGATTTCTGCGAAATGAAAGTGATATCTTGGTCAAATCAAATTGCTTGAAAGATTTGACAAACCCCTTTGAACGTTTCTTCTTATCGAATTTTGTCCAATTCAACAAGGCTAAGCATTTTTCCTCTTCAGATGCCTAAAATGAATAAATGTATTTTTTATACTAAAAAAATATCCTGGAATATTTTCCAGTTCAGGAGTCTGGTTATAAGGGTGAAGCGATTTTGAATGGTATATGGAATATAAAAAACATAGTCCGGAAACTCAATATTATGAAACAACAAATCCATTGATTGATGACTACCAAATACTTCTTAAGTAAGGAGAAAAGGCCTGTGCAAGCAAACATTTATGGGTCAAGTAAACATCAGCCTGGCTTGGCTGTGAGGCGCGTTGTGCTAAGCGCTGGAAATACGCTTCCATCACACCTCGGATTGTCCTGCGTGGAATCCAATGAAGGGATAGGTGTGTGCAAGGAGTTGCTGGACTCCTTGCCGCCGTGTGATGGTTCATACCACTGGTCAGTTACGACTTTTTAACCATCAAGACCATGCAACTGAAAAAAATAACTGGCTAACTAATCCCATGCCCGGCATTAACTAGTAACGTGATGAGAGGCCGTAGTTAATCACATCATTAAGCTGCGTTATTGGCTTTCTTCTCCCTTGAGATAAATATATAAACTCAACCCCTCAGTGGTACCCATCTTATGTATAATAAAGTGTAAACGTCAAACAGAGTGTGACTGAAATATTAAATCAGAGTCTGAATAAATAATATTCCACTAACCGTGTTATCCTTGGCTTTGATCATTCCCATCAACTGTTTTTCATCTATTTCCTTAAATTCTTCCAGTTCTGCAATTTTTGCAAAGTTGTTGGAAGCAATTTTATCACATTTGGCTTTGAGTTGTTTCAGATCGTACAACTTTGAGATATTTATGGTGATGAAGTAAGATTT